TATGTATGTGTTTGTTTGTTTGTTTGTTTGTTTGTTTGTTTAAAGCAAGCCTAAGAGCTATCTTTGATTGTCTAAATTAAGCTTGCTAACTTCTGCCCACTCACACAAAACTCTTCACCCCTCTCTCCCGGATGTTTTGACCAGTCCTGAAACAATACCTTTTATCCCAAGAACCTGTTACATGTTTCAGAAATCACTGTAGCCTAATGTTTCCTGCGAGACTTAGCCACTCTAACTGGCCCTCTTCCATAAGCCATTGAGGAAGTGAAGACAATAGCTCTTATCGCAGGCAACAGTCTACTGTTCAGCTGAGTTTTCTGTAACCCTGTTACCGATATCTCAGAGGGCTCCTTGATTTACTAAGCGTATTGCTCCTCAAACAAAAGCGTGGCCGATCTTAGCTTTCTTTGTTTTGTTACTACTTTAAAAAAAGAAGTGTTAAAACCGTTCTTGCATATAATAATTCAGATTCATTGCTTTACCGTAGATGTGACTTTTTACCAAAAACTATGCAGTATATCATAAATGTTGTAGGAGAAAACTCTTGATTTTCTTCACTTAGGGAGGATGGAGAAAAAAAGGAATGGAGAAAATGGAGAAGGAAAATATAAATGCAAAAAATATGGGCTTGGATATTGCTGCACCAGCATTCCGAGTACAATTCATTAAAGCTGGATTTATTCTGTGCTGTTAACAGTGCACCCTTCTTGTTCCTCATGCAAATTTATCACCCTGAAACTGTATTTTTATTACTTTTCACACTACTCAGGCAACATCAATTGTTAAAAATTCTCCTCGTCCAAATATGAGGTTGTTTGTTGAAAAACAATTTGCCAAGGTGAGGAAATGGAGTGGTGCTCAACTAGGATTTGAAGTGGCAGCATTTAGTTTCTGCAAAAAAGTAAATCAATAAACATAGCAGGGTGTTGATGGTGAATGGAGACAGATGAACTTGGATTGATTGAGAATAATTCAGATAAAATGGGAAGGGGAAAGGGGAGTATCGAAAAAAAAGGAACAGGAGAAAACCTATATTCAAAAAGGTCTTTTGCATTTGTGTTTATATGCAAAAAACTACAGAGAACACAAGGCCCAAAATATCAAATTTTGATTTAGCAATCAGAAGCACTTAATCTGCTTCTTCTCAGTTCTTATTTCTTTTTCTATTGGACCAAACAATATCTGAACTGGAGCAACTGGATATATCTTAATGATAAGATGCAGCCTCTTGACCTGTGCTGGAGCATGTTGCGTGCTAGTGGCATTTATCATCTCATTGAAATCTCCTGTATAAATTGATTATTCATCTAGAAGTCTAATGGATTGAAGCTGGTAAATGTTCCATTCAGAGCTGACCCCAACGTTTTGTACTCTGTAGTTCTGCAAAGAAATTTTTCCCTTAATTAGTGTGTATGTATGTATGTAATTCATTTATATAGCCTTCCAACTGATATGTGACTCGGGGTTGCATGCACAATAAAAACAGCACATAATAACCAGAAAAACCTTAAAATATAATCAAACATAAGGTACATAACGCATACAACTTGTCAGCCATTCAAGGTAGACCAGACTAGGAAACCCATCTGGAGGAGACTAGGACCAATTTCTGACCTTCACAAATCAATGTAAACTGTTTGTGGTGGGCAGCATAGTGGAGTTTTCCACAGATCACACCAAGCTGACTTTTGTGCTAAGTTTACTAAAAGATGGAGCAACTAAATAAGCCATTCCCTCTGCCCTCTACACAATTTCATCCAACCCAGAACAGTTAGAAAAAAACCTGGTCAAGGTGGGCACAAAACCTCCTGCCCCAGTGTCTTGGGAGAAGAAACAGTCCTTCTGAAGGGCAGGTAGGATCAGGGCCATCTGAATCTCAAGCAGGTCCTGTTCCAAAAGACAAGCCTGGTGACAGGAAAAGTCCCATCCTGCAACACTGCTTAAATGAAGAGTTTTTACCTTGCCACAGTATATTGCTCACATTTGTTTAACAGTAAAAACAAAATGTATCAAATGCAAACTACAGCTTATTAAAATATACCATCACATATCAATAAACAGATTCTTTCTTGAGTTGGGTGGCCTTAAATAAATAATGCTAAAACAAAGACAGTGCCAATCAATGATGTAGAGACTGACTCCAAATTGGCCAATTAACAGGCTGAAAGCCAAGTGAAAAAGAGAGGTTTTCCATCTTAGTCGAATGCCATAGAAGAAGGGATTGAGGCAACCCTTATATGAAAGTATATTCATTTTGTGGATATAGCCACTTTTCTCTTCCCCAAAACATCTGACCTTGGGGAGACAGAGGAAAACTTACCTGCAGGTGATGTCTAGAAAATGAAGCAGACTTCAACTTTTAAAAATTTGTATTGGTATTTCCTATGTCCAAACTGTGCATATTAACTAGGTTTTCTGCATAAAACTAAAAGAGAGGAAACACAACAGAAGGAAGGAAATAATGCTAGTTATAATGCAACATGAAATCTTTAATAGGCCTTTGAGGTAGATGTATCTTCCTAGAGCAGAGTTGTTTCTGGCCAGGAAAATTGAAGTTAGCTTCTTACAGTTGCTCATTCTCTAGCTTGATGGCTGTGACTGAAATTATCTTCTGTTTGTTGTGGTCAGCTTCCTGAGAGGGAGAGGGAATCATCTTCCACAGGTCTTTGATAGATATCTTTTCTCTGAACCAGCAAAAATACATGGGATGCTCTGATATCAGGAACACACTCATGTATTTTCTCATGATTCGTTTAAGCCTACAGCAATAAGTAAAGCATTAGTTGCCATAACCTGGCTAACATGCACTTGCATAATTGCATATTACTTCTAGTTGGATTAGAAATGGTCTAATTTCCTTCCTTATCTGCGATGTACCATTGGATTCTACAAGCTGAGATGAATAAAGTAGGTACCTAAATTGTAATTGGTTTATAAAATCTGAGCTCTTTGCTTACTCTTCTCCCAAAAGCACTTTATCTCTTTTTTTAATATAAGTAGAACTGTCTGTTTTTATTCCTTTCTCCAGACAATAGCCATCCTTAGGGAAAACCTTTTCCTCTCTCTTGTCACAGTTCTGATTTCCAACTTCAAGGCCCATCACATTAGTTTGAGCTTACTTTAGAACATAATTGAAATGCGGTTCCAAATTATTGGAAGTCAATTCCTTTACTTTCTCTTCATCTAAAACTGTTTTCAGATATCCCTTTTTCACTAGTGCAGGAATTCATATTTTCTCGAATTGTCATTTCTTCAATTGTGACAGAATTTTTGCAGAATTAAATTTCTAGCAGGATTATTGCTCTATTCCTCTGAAGGAAAGATACTGATTTTCTCTTAGCTTCTTGATCTAAATGTCTAATTCAGTACAACCACTCTAATTGCGTATAAGCCTAACATGATTAGGGAGGGAAAGGGGCATACTCTAAGAGGCTCTGCCTCACACTGGTAGCTCCAGGCCTGTGCTTACCAGCCTAATCTCCATGCAAGGGCACTGGCCAATCTCATATCCATGAGGAGGGACAGTCTGGAAATTTTAAGAAACTCCCCCAGTGTATTTCTGCTCAAAGACAGCTCTGAGATTTTCGTGACGCCATAGTTTTGCTCTTTCATGCTTCTCTTCCTTTCCCTTATCCTTTTAGTACTCTTCCTGGCTTCAGTAACTGTTTTTATTTGCCTTCCCAACAATCGATAAAGTATGCATTTGAATTACATTGACGATTGTTTACTTTCAGAATAGGGTTTCTGAATGATGGGTTTTGGTGATGGTTTAGAAGAAACTTAGATAATTATAACATCAAGCAAGAAAACCCACTTGTGCCTTGCTCCTGAAAGAAAAGGGCCAGGAGGGTTTTCCCCTACTTCTTTTAAGCTCACAACATTCCAAGCACAAGGAAGGAGAACTGAGAGCATTTCATTCACAGTTTCGCAGTCGTCCACTGGTATGTGAGCAGCTGATTGAGACAACAAAGTTGAGCCTATCCTACAGTGCCCATCATGCTTTTGAGGTGCAGAAGAAAGCAGACCAGAGTGGCAAGGCAAAATATTAATCAGGAACTGTGTAAATAAATGTTTCTGTTTTGCATTCATTATCATATCCTCACCATGCCAATTATATGAAACAAGGCTGGTAACAAAATGAATGATCAAAACAACTCACCTTTAAATGCCTTGGAATAATGCATCTCTTGCAGTTTGATTGCATCTTATTTGTTCATTTCCTTCTTATCGGCCCTACTGTCCTGTTGGACTTTTTCACTATTTCCAAATTTGATTAAAGTGCATATATGTAAAAATTTTGTTTGACATTTGTCATTTCTTAACACATTTTTTAAAGCCATGGGACTGGTGCTCATTGGTAAGAATTAAGTGGGCATTGTAAGTTGATTTAAATTGAAGACATTTTATTTCTGTGCTACACAGTATGTCAAATCTGTATTTTTAACATCTATTACTTGTTCTGGCTCATACTTAAGATACTTGGGCAGTTGAGTAAACAACTATATTTAAAATTGACTGATTATGAGTTAATATCCCACATAAGCCACTTTTTAAAGAAATACAAAATACTTAGCTTTTCTGTCTTTTTTTTTTTTTTTTTTGGTCTCCAGGTCTAGGACCACCTGATCTGGGAGGCAGAAATCTAGATGGCCACTAGACAGGAGCAAAAAGATACAGAAAATGTTAACCTCTTGCTGCCATTTAGTGGTTGATCAGATTTTTGCAGTTCACTGATAATTTTAAGTCATCCTTCATACAGACAAATGAGCAGCACAAAGATTACACAATATCTTAGTTTGCACAATTATTAAACGAATCATTTTTGAGAGGCAATATATTGATTTTGAAAAGGTCAGATTTGTCAGTAATGGGCTGTTCTGTATAACTACAATAACTGTCTGTAAATATGTTTTGAAGAGCAGAGCAGCAGGCTGCATAATCTGGATGTTTGTGTCTATTCTTTTAAAATTAAAGAATATATATTTATCCTTTTTGTCCAGGTGTCTGAATGCATGCACTTATTGCAAAACTAAGCATGCCCGAGGGGAACTAGCAAGTTATTCTATTGAAGAACTGGTAAACAGAGGCAAACAGTCATTTCAAGGTAGGCTTTATTTGTTTGTTCAATTTTTCATTCTTAAACATACAAGTTATTTTACTTCTCAAAATATCTACTAATGTGACATCACTTGATCTATTGCTATAGAATATATAGATGATTGTGTAGCAAATGCACCAGAATTTACTTAAAAAACAAACAAACTATATATGGGTTTATCAGAATAAATGCTCCTCTTTTTCGTCTGTGGATTTTTTCAAATCTGGAAAATTATACGTATTCATTACAGATATTATCTTATTTTCAACTATTCCATCTATCAAAGCCCTGATAGGAGTATCATATAGGTAGTCCTTGCTTGACCACAGTTGGGACTGGAATTTAGGTTGCTAAGCGATGCAGTTAAGTGAATCATCATGTGACCAGACCCGATTTTACCACCTTTTTTGCTGTGGTCGTTAAGTGAATCATGCAGTTCCCCATTGCTTTTGCTTGTTGGAAGCCAGCTGGGAAGGTCGTAAATGGTGATCACATAACCCCAGGACACTGCAACCATTGTAAGTGAGAGCTGGTTGCCAAATGCCCAGATTGCAATCACGTGACTGTGGGGGCGTGGTGACGATCGTAACTTTGGGTACCTGTCATAAGTCACTTTTTAGCTCCATTGTAACTTTGAATGGTCACTAAACGAATGGTCATTAAGCAAGGACTACCTGTAACCTCCCTGCTACTGGAGCCCTACTGCAGCAGATGCTGCAGCAGAGTTTAAGAAGTCAAACCTGGGGAAATGCAAGAAACAAATGTTCATTAAAAAGCTAGTTGCTGTGCCTGCATGTGTGCATTTTGATGCTTTAACTTTGTGAATGGTTTTCAGTTTAAGAACTCTTTTGATACAAACATGATAATCATTAGAGTATTGGGTGGAATGCCAGTGCTGGTTAGGTGTGGAGGGATCTTACAGCTGATCTTTTCACTGTCCTGCTGGAAGTACATATCCTGACACCTGCCCATGGAAAGGAAAGTAATTGATGATTGGTTTCTGGCCTAGGTGGGAGACATAAACAACCAGGGGAATTGACCAGTCAAGAGCTGCTTTAACTATAGTCCAGGCGGAACACCTGCCTGAGGTTGAAATCCAGAAAGGGATTTTTTAAGTTGGTTTCATTTTCAAGCAGTTTATGCATGGAAGACAAGCAGCTGCAGATTGTTATGCAGAAGAGTCCTGTGTTGATAAAACTGTGCAACATGTGGTAGTTTAGGAATGTTTAATTTCAAGTCGGAATGTTTAATTTCAAGTTAGATTCTGCTCATACACTCCTTTGGTGTCTGATTTTTGCTACTTCCTTCTAGAGAAATACGGACAAGATTTTGGCTTTAATTTCTGTTGAAATATTATGAGTTTCCTGAAACATTTGCTATGTTTAATGCTTTATCCTCTTGCTTTGATATATTGCTTTTTCATTCTCTAGCATTGTTTAAAACTTGCTTGAGTTTTTGTTTTTATATGTATAGCAATCTTTTTGGCTTGGGCTCTTTTTTTAAACTGGCTTAACATTAAACAATTTTGTATATCATGACATTGTTTCACTGTCTTTTGTTGAAGTCCCCTAAGACTTTAAGTGACATGTTGGTAGGCATAATGGAAGGAAAGTCAACAGAGAGAGAGCCTGTTTGCTCTTTGCAGTGCAAGTATTTGCTTTTGATTAAATCCCCCCAATCCATTTTGTACTGTAGTGTTTGCTAAAACTCTTTTAGTGTCTTTGCTTAATAAATAAATATCATTCTCCATTTATTATACACAGAAGACCTGATTGGCACATGCAGATGGGGTTGTAGCAGTTGAATAAGAGGCTACTGTTCTTCCTAATAAATAATTTCGACTTAAAACATATATCTGACATTTGTATTCTACAATTCAGTGCAAAATGAGAAAACAGAAACATTAAACAAAAACCTCAACAGAAAAAAAAACTAACTGAAAGAAGCGGTGTTGATTAAGTTCTTGAAATCAGCTGATTAGATATAGCAGAACTGAGCAGACATTATAAAGCAGCATGCCATGCATTTTAGGTAGGGACAAAATAACATTTTTATGTACAATTTGTAAGAATGATAGAATAAAGAAAAGCCTGCATCAGTTTAGCCACTCCGTGCATCTGATGAGGTTAGCTGGAATTCATGAAAGTTTATGCTTTTAATTACATTTGTTTGTCTGGAAAGGTGCTACCAGACTCCTCCTGATATTGCAAATAGGTGGCTCCAATTCAGATTTCATTCTCTCTGGAATTCCATCTTCTGAATGAAATTTTACTCAAGAGATACCTCTCTGGTCATGGAGGACAAGCGATTTGTCAATCTTTACTAAAATCCTTTGCATCCTCCTGAAACACTCTGTGGCCTGCCAGAAGAATAGAGAAATATCCAAATTAACCTTCTATTCTTCCAATGGGATTCTCTGCAGGATTGAAGACCTACTGTGACAGCATTTTTGAGAGGCAGTGTTTGGATTTGGCACAGTGCTAATAGTTTGTAAAAATATTACAATATAATTAATATAATATATAATACTAATAATAGTTATTACTTGCTTTTCAAAGCAACTTTGGGGCAGTAAATTGTCCTGTATGTGCTTCCGTCTTAAGTGTGTGGGTGTTTCTTTTTAAAGGTGCAAGGGTCCATCTGACAGGTGATTTTTCAAACCTGTAGCTCATATATAATTTATGTTAGCCTCTCTCCAGCATGGCTCAAAATAAATCCATTGTCCTAAATATCATTAAGCAATTCTGGGTCTTTAGTAGACTGGGAGAAGTGGGTGTTGATGCAAAAAAGAATGGATTGGAGACGAAGATGTGAATCAACTCTGTTCATGCAATGGCCTTTCCCAGTGCTTGTCTTCAGTGTGTGTGTATGTGTGTTTGGGGGGAGGGGGAAATACAAGTATATGAGTGTACAAATGCACACATATCTGTGCCTGTACATGTCTGGCTATCCCTGATTTTGACATGGTTTCAATTAGTTTGGCAGCCTTCTTTGTAACCAGCCAGTACAAATTAAAAAATAAGAATTTCTTCCTTTCTCAGCTTTTTTCCTTGTCATAGTTTTGAACCCAAAAGAAGAAAGATACCAACTAAAGGGGAATTTCTTCTCTTGAGATGCTTAGCCTTGTATTTTCTTTGTTTCTTCCCTTTTTGTATTAAGAATGTTCCAGTCTTGGCTGCTGACTCTGCTAATGTAGAAACGCTTAATGCCAACATAAATATTTTGATACCAGCCTGTCATTTCTTAAAGCTATACAGGATAGCATGAATAATTAGGTGTTTTTTCATTATCCTATGTAATTCTTCCTAACGGCTCTTCAAGAAAAGTAAATGTATTTGCAGTCTTTAAACTATTATTAGTTGAGTAGCTGTAAAGGCTACTGTGCATAAAAATACAAAAATGTAATACCATGCCTTATTTTTTTTTAAAATGGTGGGTTTTATGTATGATAAATTCTTTTAAATAAGGTATGTTTGCATTTTGCCCCTATGCAAATTGTTAATGCTGGGGAGAATATCCTCCAAGTATTACCACATGTTTAAACCATTGTTTCTATGCAGGAGGCTACCCCAAATGGGGCGTAACCCTAATTTCAAAAGTCCTTCCCTACCATGTGAGGAGGAAAAAGAATAAAAAAAGGAAGACAAAAGGAAAAGAAGGTGATTGAAAAAGAAAAATCTTGGGGGGGGGCTCTTTTTTTAATGTAAATTAATATAATTCAGGTACTGCCTTAATATGGATTTTGAAATATTAGTATAAGTGAGGATTCTAAATAATAATATTTTAAGACTGAATCTTTTTTAAACATTTTAAGTAATTCTCTGGTTCAGGGGAAAGCTTCCTAGATGTAAGCTCTTTCTAGTTTTGAATCCTCTTATCTTAGTTACCAAAAAACCTAGCCTCACTGCAATTTTTAAATACGCCCCTAATATTTTGATTCTGAAAGAATCCCACATATTTAGGATTGGTGATGTACTATTGAGGCTTGATATGTAAAGGACAGACACAAAGGCTTTGGATGTGCTTTCCATGGTAACCATAGCATGTGCAGCCCCTGTTCATTTGCAGATAAGCAAGAAAGGATGTATGCTAATGCCTTACTCTAAGCCTATCTCCTTCCACACCCAGCCATTTCTAGGTACACCTGTTTAAATTGAATTGGGCAGTTGGAGATTTGAAAATTAAAGCAGTATTCATACCAGAAAAACATTCTTCAGTTACTAGCACTATTAAAGTTTAGGGAGCTCCATGCAATGTTTGTGCATAACAAATTCTCTGAAAAACCAGCTGCCTTGTTCAGTTTTGCACATTGCATTTAGACCCCCTTTTTCATCTCATTGCCTGGAATATTTTTCCCCCAAAGAACCTAAGATGTTGGGAGGGATTAGAGGCAAGAGTTCAGGTTTTTCTTCTTTTCAGTTTCTTTTCATCCCACTACCTGTAAATAGGTTGGTTAATCTCTTCCTGCAGTTTCCATTTCCCAAATTAGTGTTTGCTGTTTTAGATTAGTCTAATTAGGAACTAATTATTTTCAATTATGCTTCCTCTCCAATTTTTCTCACCTCATGTCAAAGCTAAGACATTTATGATGTTTCTCAGATCTGATCTGTCTCACTCCCCTGGCCCTCCAAAGGATCGAGGAGGGACAATGATCAAGTGCACAGCTAGCCAGTGACAAACTTCATGAAAGTCCACAAGCCAAAAGGAGTGCCAGATAACATGACCCAGATTGGGGGGGATCCAAGTAACTTTTTCAACAAAGTGCTGAACTACTTGGTCACAGCAGCCAGGTGGGAATTCTAAAAGGGAATTGGAAATAATATATTTACAGTAAGGGGAAACACAAACCAAAGGTAACCTTACAATATTATTTCCTAGTACAGTTTCCTGTTTAATTATGACTCTAAGCCCAATATCTGAAAAATACATACTGGTCAAATGCCCAGGTAGTTTGTAGATATGTATGTGTTTGGTTATAGGCATACCAGTTGGATCAAGATGCTTGT